AGGAAAAAAAAAAAAAACAATTCACACGTCCCTCAAGAAAAACAAATAGGATTGAGTTGAATGGAATTCCATAAATAAGAAAAAAGAAATAAACTCTGTACTGCCAGTTCAGTTCGTAGGATGGAATTATAGACATAAATTCTGGAAATAGTAAAGCCGGGAGCTACTAGAACTTCCAGTGATTCTCGTTTCCCTCATAGCTCTGCTTCCAAAATGGGACTACACAACTACATTCTGTACCAATAATAAAAACGAATCTACTAAGCCACAGTGCTCCTTCGCTGAGAGTTGGGGTCCTAACACTGCTGGTTTTTATCTCCACTGCGTTAGGAGAGAAGTAGATGCAGCAGTGAAGCTTCTTGGCAACAGAAGCTACAGAGAAAATGAAGTATGGATTGAGGGGCAGGGGATTCCCAGAACAGGCAGAACAGGGTCATCACCTTCTCAGTAGTGAGCAAGCGGAGCAATAGAGGGGTTGTAAGTGCCATCCCCTTACAGAGGGCACAGGAGGACCCCCTGTCCTCAGCCAGGGGTCGCCACTGGGGTGTGTCCACTAAAGTTGCAGTCTGTTCATATTGCTATGGAAGGTTTGGCTTCCAAAGAGGGAGCAATCAATGGGCCCTCTTTGCAGATTTAGTATCCTTGCTCTACCTAATCATATCTAACGGGAAGGAAGTAACCCCTCCTCCAGTGATATTTGGAAAGGGAAATGCAGGAAGCAGGATTACGGAACACTGCCCTGAAACCCCTTAGGAGCCTCTCAGTCTCTTTCCAGTGAAAGACATCATCTGCTAAGACATGAAGCGTCCTCTGATAGACCCCTCAGGGAACGGTCTAGCGTGAGTCACGTGGTGGCTGCCTAACTCAAAAGGAGAAAAGCATCCAGTGGAGGTGCTGGGTGCCATCCCCTCCAATAAAGGGACAGCACAGAATGCAAAGCCAGAGCTTTAACCCAGTCAAACAGCCGAGGCAGGAGAGTGGGACAAACACATTCCTCTAAACAAGAGAAGAAGCTCTTCATCCCATTTGGGAGGCTGACATTACCAAAGGCCTGTCCCTTGTCTGTGGCAACAAACTGGCTCACTTTTAATTGGTTTGGAATCACAGACACTTGATACGATTATATAGATCCACAGGGCAGAAAACTTTTTGAAAAACCAAAACAGAGTATGAATTATTTAAGAGTTCCTAAGAGACCCAAGCTTTTCATACCTTTTTATGATATCAGGTGACACATCCATTACTGACTTGGGGACAATTTTATTACAGGACCCTGATAATGTAAAACATTTTGTGATATTCTTCAGGAGAGAATGATTGCCAAGGGAGAGGGGTTTATTTGTCTTCTTTAAGGAAAGAAGGTTTGACAATTATTTGAGTCATAACATCGCTGTTTAGGAGAGTGCCCCGAGGAGCAATCGTGACACTGTTAACACTTGGATGGAAACTGCCACTGAGGAGCAGCGGCGGCTACCGAAGATTCCGGCCTCACAATAAATATTCAACATGCTCCCAGCTAGTAAAATCCCTTGCTGGGGATCCCTTATAAAGAATGGCGCCTCTAAACACATCTCACGAGGCTATCTTAGGAGGACATGATACTCATAACTTAAACAGTCTTAGGAAACAAAAAAGACGTGGAAACTTAGACTCCTGGTGTCTCCACTATCTCCCTCCCCGGCCTCAGTGGAAGCAGAGCTATAAGAAGGAAGTGGGAAGGAGACATCAAAGGTTTCAATCTCCTCAGGCCCCAAAGGTATGTGGGATGAGTCCTGAGAGCAACACTTTTTAAAGAAATTACGTTTTATTCTCCATAGAAATGGGACTGGAGTGCCAGCGTCCTCTAAGCATGCAGCCACAAAGTGTCTGCAGAAAAAAACAGATCTGAACGCATCCAGACATCTTCCAACAAGGATCAGGCTCCTTGACCCTGTCAGCTCTGACCACCCATACATGCCATCAATCCCCGCCCCCAACTCAAATGCTGGAAATCCAAAAGCTCTTCCCTCACACCGCCAGACCAGACTCCCCCACAAGGATGGCATGGATCCATCCAAAGCCCTTAGCTCGCTGTGCAAGAAGAGCTCTTTGGATTCTTCTCCACTTTCCATCTGCTCTCATCACCATCCTTCCCCCAACCTCCTCCTGCCCCGCCACACCCAAGCCCCTCACAGTGAGTGACAGGCAGGACTACAAGTGTTCGACGACTCCTGACTCTTGAGACTCCGCACACATCGCTCTCTGCCTGGAGTGGTCTCTCCTCCCGGTGCCTCTCATCTCTGGCTACTCGGTGTCCTTCAGCGTTCAACTTTAGTCTCTGTCCAAGTTTTGAAAAGCCTACTTGCTAACCGCAAACATTTCTAGCTCTTCTCAGACTCCCAATTTCTGGTCTCTGATGGGATCTTATAAAAAGGTCGGCTTTTGTGATTTTTCTATAACAATAAAATCTCCACCTTGATGCCTTATTTCCTTCCCTATTCAGTCTGAACTTGTTTTGTTTTTTCATACCGAAAGAGGTTTAGTTCATACCTGTAATAACAAAGAGACTGCGAGCTGCAGGTTCGGAAAAGGAGCTGACACAATCACAATCACACAATCACAAGCTGTGTTAGGTGAGAGAGCCCCGTGACCATGAGGGAAATGGGAGGCCATGATCAGGCCCTGAGGTAGGAGAGCATTAAGAGGGGACTGTATCACTGGGTGGTGGTGGCACGTGCCATTGATCCCAGCACTCCGGAGGCAGAGCCAGGCGGATCTCGGTGAGTTTGAGGCCAGCCTTGGCTACCAAGTGAGTTCCAGGATAGGCAAGGCTACACAGAGAAACCTTGTCTCAGAAAAACAAAATATAAAAATAGCTGCCATGTGCTACTTGATCAGGAGAGCTAGAAAAAAAAAAAAAGAAAAGAAAAGAGGAAGCCTTCAGAGAACTTCCCTGAGCAAAGGAGAGATGTGATTTCCATATATTTTTAGAGGGTGAAAGAAATTCCACAGCACCTGATTTATGATTTAGTCCATCAAAGCCTATATTGCCAACTTTCACAGCTGCAGGGAACCTGGCCTGACTTCTGAGGGGGGCAGCTAGGAACTCTGCGGCCTAACAGCATCAGTTTAAAAAATTAATAATCCTACGCAAGTCTTCACTGTGACAAACATTCTGCTGTCGTTGCTACTAAAGAGATCGCATCAGGATATATCAGACCACCATGAAGAAGGAGCTTCTAAAAATTCATGGACTCTAACACAGGAAGAATCTCAGTGTTCTAGCCAGGCCTTTTCCTTGGACTCAGCTTCTACCATCATTCATCCCTGTTCTCAATTCCTTTCACCTTCCCTTCTCATTCCAAGCATCCCCCTCTCCACTGCTGGCAGAAATCCTTGCTTCCTGCATTATGAAAGTATTGAGGCAAGACAGCATCAGCTTCCTACTGCCCCCACACCAGCAAACTTCCTACATCTGCAACTATCCATTGTTCCTTCCTTTCTGCACCAAAGGACCAAGTGCCTGCCTTGTAGCCTACCCCTGGTCTAGGCTTTCCTTCTCCTCCCTTTCTCTTTCGTGGCTGTTTGTACACAGGTTAGCCTCTCTTCTGTCTTCCATTTCTCTCTCAGTTCTGTCTTTTGATCCTTAGCACACTCACATACTCCACATACGTGTTCTGTCTTCAACCTCTCCTAACTGACCCAGATTTGACCTGGTTTTTCCTTGTCTTATTGGCCAAGTATAATAATAATACTTGTAGCATTATTTTCTGTTTCATGTAATATTCACTAGGTCAGTGCTCTATAGGATACCTCCCAAAGTCCCATGTGTTAAAGGTTTGATCAACAGCCCTGGCACTGGAAGGCAGTAAGACCTTTAATATGAGGACATACTTTTAAAGGGGATATTTGGATTCCACCTCTCTCCTTCCTAGCCACCATGAGGTGAGTGGGTTTCCTGACAGCAAATACTTCCACCATGCTCTACCGTATCACCACTACAGACCCAAAAGTAGAGGGACTAAGTGACCATGAACTCGAATTCCTAAACTGTGAGCCAAATAAACATGGCTCCCTCTACAATGTGTATCTCTACACATTTTCAGGAAGTGTTGGGACGCTAACAAACACAGATAATGCTATCAAACTTTTATCTGTCACACACAGCGCAAAAGTGAAGATCTTCTAACACACAATGTGACTACCTTCAGAAAGTTCTATTAAAACCTTATGTCATGAATCAGAAAAAAGACAAAATAACTTCTAGCATGAGACCACATTAAAAGTAGCAACAAGATCAGATCTAGGAGGTGGCTCAGTGGTCGATCGAGGGCTTAGCAAACATGAGGCCTTGCATTCCGTCCCCAACAATAAATTTTTTCACAGACATCAATGAGAAGACCGCTCCATATGTCAGCAGCCGCCTGTTTGGATGAAACTACCTCAGCCAGGCTTTGTGCATTTTAATTCTGATACAAAGAGTGTACAAGGCGGGCCAGTGTGGCTCCAATTTTAATTTCTCTTTTGACTCCTTCCCATGTCAGTTGTCTCTAGAGACAAAAACAAAAAAAAACAAAAAAAACATTCATTTCAAAACAGTTCAGGACTGTGGTATAGCTTAATCTCCCTCCTCAGGCTACTCTATGTGAGGTGGTCCAGGAAGTTCACAATTGAATGCCAAAGAACAAAATATGTTTTCTCTCTCTCTCTCTCTCTCTCTCTCTCTCTCTCTCTCTCTCTCTCTCTCTCTCTCTGTCTCTCTCTCTTCCTTCCTTCCTTCCTTTTTAAGACAGGGTTTCTCTGTGTAGGCCTGGCTGTCCTGGAACTCTCCCTGTAGACCAGACTGGCCTTGAACTCACAGAAATCCATCCGCCTGGCTCTGCCTCCCCAGTGCTGGGATTAAAGGCGTGCACCACCAAATGCCCAACTCAAAACCTGTTTTTAAAAGATAAGCAAAGCACTCATTTTAACACAAGTTAGATGTCAGGACTAGAAGTAGAAATGGAAAGATGAAATATTACCATCAACAACTTCCAGGGAGTTGCACATTCTGCATCTTTCTCGAACAGTAAGAGAGCCTTCTGCATCAGGTAGCAGGCTTTCGACAACTTGTTCTTCTTTATTTTATTCCTGACAGTTGACTCTGGGGAGACAAACAAATAGTCACTCAAAGATCAAGATCAAAGTTGTCATCTACATTGATTGAGCTACATGGGATCCAACACTAATCACCTACCTGAGAAACACGCAGGACGTCTAGGTTCCTTTAACTTTTCCCAGCCTTTGGTATTTGTGCTAACAGTGTGAGTCTGCAAAACTGAAAAACACCACCAATTATAAACCAAACAGAAACCTTGTTTTCCATGCTGGGGAACAAACCCATGACTTTGGGCATGCCAGGCATGTTGTGCTCAACCACTAAGGTATAAGCCCAAACCTTGGTTTATTTTTGGCTGAAACAAGATCTCCTTATTTGGCTCAGGCTGGTCTTGAACTTGCTTTGTAGCCCAGGCAGGACTCCAACCTATAGCCCACTTGCTCTAGCCTCCCACATGTTGGAACTACAGGCTTGTACCACCACACCCAGCAGGTTGTAGTTTTATTCTCACCTTTTCTTTTTCAGAGGTGTACCTCAAGACATAGAATTTCCAAATATTTATCAATTATCAAAATATTTGATTTTCTGTTTCATCGTAAGTAAAATCACATTGTGGAACTCGTTTCTACTTTCTCTTCTTTCATAAAAATGGCAAGTCCTGATGCCAAACTGTCCCTTGTCCTTTCTGGAAAAACTGGGTCACCATGGTTCCTGGAAACGTGAGTCCTCCAGGACAGTGAAAACCTAACAGCTTTCACCTAAGACACAAAGGACTGCAGATGTCCAGTTTGTGTCCAGGTGGGATCAACCATCACGGTGATGCAATAAAAAGGATGAGGGATACATCCATGGAGCTCTGGGGCCCATGACATGGAAAGGACATGACTCTTAGGTCTGGTCCACAAGAGACCTGGCTATTTTGTGTCTGTGGTGTGGTGATTCGAATAAGAACGGCCCTCATAGACTCATGTATTTGAATATTTGGTCCATAGTTGATGGAACTGTTTTGGGAAGGATTAGTAGGCGTGGCCTTGTAGGAGGAGCTGTGTCACTGGGGGTGAACTTTGAGGTTTCAAAATCCCATGCCAGAGCCAGCCTCTCTCTCTCTCTCTCTCTCTCTCTCTCTCTCTCTCTCTCTCTTTGCCTCCAACTTGCAGACTCAGATGTAGGCCCTCAGCTGCCGCTCCAGTACTAAGCCTGTCATCTGCGGCCTTGCTCCCTACCACAATGGTCATGGACTCACCCTCTGAAACTGTAAGGAAGCCCCCAATTAAATGTTTCTTTTGTTTCTTTGCTCATGGTGTCTCTTCACAGCAACAGAACAGTAACTAAGCCACGGCGTTTCCTAAAGAACCCTGTCAGCACGCCCCTTCTGTTGAATTTTATTATTTGTGCTAATGAGTGTAAATGATAGTGACTGATGAAAAAATAGAAGCAGATACCACTGGAGGATAAGAACTCTCGGTGCAGATATGGATGAGTCATAGTAAAAGCTGTGGTCGTCGGTAGGTGGCCACCGAGAAGTTCTTGAATAAGAAAGGCACAAATAGCATTCCTGGGGCCTGAATCTGGAGGCAGCACACTTGAATGAAGAAGGACGGACAGAAGGAAATAACAGCCTGTGCTAGGGTGGGAGGTCAATAAAGTAGCAGCGGAAGAGACGAGGAGACGCGGGGATACAGCTTGGAACCTTAACTGACTTCACAAAGATGGAGCTCAGGCCTCCCTTCCATACCCGCATGTGGTCCCTCATGAAAACCCGTTTGGCCTTCAAAGACCTGATGAACAACAGTCAGAGAGTCAACCATTAAATAGTAACCCCCAGAGTGCACAAAGCCCTATTCTTCCATGAAGGATGATATAGGAAATAATGAGTATTTTTGAAGGAAACCAGACACAATCATTCTATTGAGCTTTAAATGGCATTTCTGAACTACATATTTTCAGCCGCAAATAATGTTTATGGCTAATTATTCTCGGAAAGCTTGTTTATGTAACAGAAACATTCTATCGGGCTTTCATTTTACTTATGATGAAACAGAGCTGCTTTCATTATTATCTGCTCCCCTCTACATCTAAAGGGTCACATAGAAAACAGTTTTTAAAGCTATGTAAATGTTTAAAATAAAATGTAAAAGGATGAAAACATAAGAAGGTAAAAACAAAGGATCTTGGTAGGTACTAAATAAATCCTTGTTCTATTGAGTTCACAAAACACCAATAACTTACTATAAGCAAACAAATATAATCATAGTCTTTTAGAAATCTACTGACCTGCCATGCAAAGTGTAAACTGATAAACAAAAGTATCTGCTGATATTAATCCAAGGAGAAAAAAAAATAAAGTAATAAAAGTTATTTGCAAAGTGAGCAACAAACACAGGTACAAGATTTAATCTACTCTGCCCTGACTGGCGCTTAAAATGCATTCTGTGTGGTTACTTTGGGGTGACTGTTACCTTGCAATTGGTCAAGAAGTACAACGGCTATGCGGTGCTGGGCTTGGATTAATTCGAGATGCAGATCCATCATGAAGCTATTCGGTGCGATTGGCTTGTAAGTATCCCCCTCCGTGTCATGAGAGTACTTTAGTCCGGGAGAGGTGAAGAAGAAATTAAAAAGGAAAACGGTTATCAAAACAACCTAAAAAATGCCTCTGCCTTATTATCTTTCAAGTTCTGTCTTATTCATAGCCATTTAATTCTGCTCACTTCCAGCCCTGAGCAGCTGGCTCACGTGACGACACGTGTCCTCTCAGAGTGTCCTCTTCACTGACAAACTCAGAGACACCACTCTCCCTGATTTCTTTTGGGAAGAGCTATTTCTGGCCTATGAGAGGAAACCACACTTTATGTGCCTCCTCGGAAAGCCAGCTCTTTTCCCACTTAAGGAAAACATGGACCTAATGTGAGGTTGCCCCCTCTCACCTTGACATAGCAATGGTCAATTGTTGATGATCCATCTGACAGAGTAGTTAACATGGAGTTCCAGTTCATCCCGGCGATGGCTTTATCGAGGAGTTCATATGCATAAAACAGCTGTTCCGAGGGTGCTCGCTGGAATAGTTTCACAAACAAAAAGGAAGAGCTGAAACTCCTTTGAACAATCACCCAAAAGCGAAGAGCAGAAACAGTCTGTCCCATGCCAGCCACGCTCTGTCTCTTACTAAATATGCTGAGCTTCAACTAAACACCGAGTACTGTTGATGAAGATGAAAATAATATAGTTCACCATTTTCCAAAAACAAACTTTCACAAATATGCATTTCGGTTCCAGTCATTGTCTTCAAAATTCTACTCGCATCCAACACACAGGTAAATGTTAAATATGAACTTCACGTAAGTTTAGGTATTTTTCACACACTTACATTTTAAAACTTGCTACTTTTTTAAATCTCAGAAGAGCTGGAAATTTAGACTTTGGGTTCATAAAAAAAAAAACAACACAGAATGATTTTCAAAGTCTACACATCTTTTTTAGCATCGTTATTCTCACGGGGAGACTAGTACAGAACAAAGAACCAACAGCCATGTCCAAGTGCTTTTCTCTGAATCTTTTACACATATGGACAAAACCAAAGCGCCCTGGGCTACCATCCACAAAGTCACTCTGCCTCGCTACCCCAACAAGGAGCCACTTCCCCTGAACCTTTTATCATTCATTTGTGCTACCTGATTTTTTTTTCCAACTCTCTCCATACAGGTGAGACCAATATGTAACATCACTTTTTAATTTCTAAATGCTTTTAAATTTCTCCATCATAAAATTCTTCCAGGTGGTTTCTTCGCTCGACCACAGACTCAGGCTGGTGTTGGTACCTTAGTGGTGCAGGCAGAGTATGGTAATGCCACAGGAGCTCTCTAAGTACCCCAAGCAGAAGGGGGCTGAATGCACACAACCCCAGATCCCCCATGTTTTTCAACTGTTGGTGAGAAGTTATCTCCCTGCAGTTCTCCAGAGGTTCCTCGGAGTCTCTGTGACTCAGGGGCCCTGGGAGGCAGCTGACAGCAGCCTCAAGCGCCAGCACCTACTGCAGTGGTACAGATGGATTGCAAGAGCCTGCTCAGCACGGCGGGTAAATTCACATCTTCCTTCCGCTACCGCAGAGTAAGAACCTCTCATTGCAAACTCGGTCAAATGTTCCTCCGTAGAAGACTAGCCACCCAGGACCGTCCAGAAGTGACATGCTGCAAAGGCAGTTCCAGGAGTTCCCTGGAATCCAAAGGTGACTACAGATAGGAAATGCAAGGATGCTCGGCTGACTCATACTCGTGTAGGATGGAAGATGCCATTCTGAAGAGCATGTCACCATTACTATGAATGTGCTGACGGACATGTAAACCGCTACAACTAAATACCCTGCGATGAGCTGTGTCTGTGCTTGAAACCAAATGATCACTTCCTGTACGGTCTTTTCTGCTTCTTTTTTTTTTTTTTTTTTTTCTGGTTCAATCTTCATTTGTCTAAGACTTCTAAAATATGTTGAATAGGAAAATGGTGGCTACCCGAATGTGGTTATATCAGAATAAAGGGACAGTTTTTAATCTTGTACCATAGCTAGGACATTAACTGACAGTCTTTGGATGGTTTGCTTTATTGGGTGAGAGACCTTCTATTTCCAGCTGCTAAATGTTATGTTTTGAAAGGTTGGCTGTTGCTTCTGTCAAGGGCTTCATTTGCATCTCATCATGGACTGGTATGGCCATGTTTTTCTTTACTCTTTAATGTGGGAATGTGCTGTACTGCATTACAGAGTGCTAATGTTGAATCAATCCCCACCAACAGTCACAGGCTCAGGGAGGCTTCCAACCACTCAAGTTATCTGTTCAAATAACAAAACAACTTGAGGGTACAGCCAGGGCTGCAAATCACTGGGGTGAGACTTTCTCCCATTCACTCCTCCTCTCAGGACTCAACCTGAAACATCTCCCTATAAAACCGATTTTTTTTTCTAATATACTTTTACAGTATTTTTTTTCTAGGATGTAGTCTTTTGTAGGTTCTAACTTTATGGGGAGGCTCAATGCCAACTCCATCTTTCATGAGCTGAAGTTCTATCTCCTTCCCCTAGATTAGCTGTTAAAAAAAAAAAAAAAAAAAAAAAAACTATACTTGCTTGTAACTACGCCCAGCAACCCGATGCGGCATCCACCTGCATGCCTACCATTCCAGTTTTCACTTCCTGTTTCTGTTTTGGCCTCTAGAATTTTCCTTACTTTCTTGTGAATTTTTCAATGTGCTTGAAGATACTTGTTCAATTCTGTCCAAAATGTCTAGGTGTCTTCCAAAAGGAAAATGTTTAAGTCATCTAGATTGTTGTTTAGCCAAAAACAGAGGTCACTAAGGGTGTGTATGTGGTGTGTGTGTGTGTGTGTGTGTGTGTGTGTGTGTGTGTGTGCGCGCGCGCGCTCACAGGTACACACATCCATTCACATGGAGGATAGCATTCAGGGGCCATCTGCTTTCTTTCTTGAGTCAGGGTCTCTCAAGTAGGCTCAGTTAACTTGCCAGTGAGCTCCAGCAATCTGCCCATCTCTGCCTCTTCGGCCCTAGGGTTACAAGCATGAGTCACCACACTGGCTTCTTACACTGGTCCTGGAGATTGAACTCAGGTCCTCATGCTTGTTCATCAAGTATTTCGCTGACTGAGCTATTGCCCCAGCCCTGGGGATACCTTTTTTGACACCAAAAATGTTCAAAGACCACACACACACACACACACACACACACAC